CCAAGGGCCTCAAACTAGCAATTCCAGCCGTAACTAACATCTGTACCACCGAAACACTTGGAAGACAAAAGGAGGATGTTGTTCTAGGCATTAACTGCTGACATTTAAGACACTTAAGAATTTTACCGATGCCTAATTTAAAAAGAGAAGCACCAGAAAGAACACAACCACAACTTCGATCAGAATAGATGCATTTTTAATCCACACTGCTATAGACTGGGGTTGATGCCGCTGATCACCACCACAGACCTGAACAATATTCACACCAAACTGTACTCAGAGTGATACTTGGTTAGAAGGAGGAAGGATTAAGTGGGCAAAATTAATCATTACCTACAATTGTTGATTCTGAAGGACAGAAGCCCTACTAAAAAAAAAAAAAAATTATATATATATATATAACTCTTTCCTGAAGAGAATCTAAAACTAAAATGGGTGCAGGCTGGTGATGAGCATTCAAGCTACATCAGATCTGGGAAGAACAGAGAGTTCTGACACCCAGCACCCTGCTCTGCTACTGCTTGTTCAACCGTACGTGTTTGCTTTAGAAATACCATTAAGTGGGCTCAAAGTCCATCCAGCACAACTGTTTGTCAAACTGAGGGTATGACCTGTGCCAGGAGGCAGACGAAGCTCTGCAGAAAGGCTTATGCAATGCTTTTCAGAGGTAGAAAGTCTCTTGCAAATGAAACCAGCCACATTTTACCTATAAATTCATTTATATCAAATCTGAGGTGTCAGCACCAAGGAGCAAGTCCGTAAATCCCATGTCTTTATGTCAGTGAATTAATGTGTCCTCTGACATATGGCAACAGCAGAGTGCAAACCAATCTGGTTTTGCTCCTATCATAAAATAGGAAATGGGAACCTATTTGAGCTCTATTTACACATCGCAAACCCATCAGGTCCCAAGGGAACTTTTAACAACTTATATATGCACTACATCATAAACCAAACTTTAAAAAAACAGAAATGGCGTGTATTTATAAAGAATACTAACTTCATGATCATAGCGCTTTTCTTCCTGAGATCCTCCCAACACCGCAGTCACAACTGCACGCAGAGAAAGTTTATTCAACAACTAGTTTTACCCCATCTATGAAATCTGGATGTATTAAAAGACTAGAGAATATTCTGTACTTCAAATTCATCGTCAGACTGCACAGCTACATGACTCAGTAAATGACTCAGCTTTCTGATAAAGATGGAGAAGTAAAAGCCAGAGAGGAAGCATACACAGAGAATGTTAAATGTTACGTACATACACACAGGTTAGACATCTACCACACTGAAAAAATTCCATGCCAGATCTTATTAGCTGCCTGGCTATCTAATATTATATTGTCTACCTAAGGGATTAAATGCTGGAGTGGAGTGAGTCTGGAAGGATTAGAAACAGCATACACTGGTGACTGCACGGGTGGCAGAAGCTTGAGCACAAAGGAGTAAGTCAGGAAAGCTTTGGTTCTACAAACAAGGAGTAAAAGCAGCTTCCAGCTTCACTGCAAGCGCAGTCAAATGAACTTTAATCAAACATGCATAGTGTGCGCTGCCGAAACCCATCGCACGTAAATTCAGGGAACAAAAGCTGTTGCAGAAATCAATAGCCTACTGAAACATTAACACAGGCAAGCATTGATCAAAAGGCCCTTTTACAAAAGGCAGCCTTGCAAATTAGCTGCTGTTTTTGCTTGCAAGCAAACAGAAAAGCATAAACGCTGCTGACACGAATGACCGGTAATGATCATTTTGTTCCTGGTGATCTCACCTCACCTCACCACAAGGTCTCGCAGTCAACACATCCTACATCTCTCTACTATAATTGCGAACAGCATGATGAACCGAGGCAGTCTGGTGCTTGCTCACTGGGGAGGGCTGAGAGCAGCTGCTCTGAATCTGATTTTCTGGGTAGCAGGTCTACACCCAGGGGAATAGTCCTAACCCAACCACCTGCAAATATTTTGTATGTCTCATTTGAAGTTTTTTGTGCTAGGAACTGGGTATTGCTAGCAACATACGCACCAAAATCACACAAGATAAAGCAGACTGAACCATCCTTTGGTGTATCATTACACTCGTTCAACTTGAGTGACACCTCCCTCATTTCCAAACTTCAGAGATAAATTAAGGAAGGGGTGAGACCATTGAAGCAACTACTACCTGTGGTGAGGTCTCTGGCTGATGGTGGAAGAGGAACTCAAGCCTTGCCAGCCAGGTTCAGGGAGAGCTGAACCTGCTGCTTGAAATAGCGACCTTGTTCATCACTCCAATCCAGTTTAGTGGCCTGAAGCGCACAGACCATCTGAAGTTAGGAGGAGACTCTCTCCCTTTGCAATAAGCACCATCCAACTGCTTCTGTCACCCCCTTCTGTTCCCTGCACCCAGTAACATGCTCTTGTTTAATCAAGTTCTGGAACCACCAATAAAACAGGCATTAACAACCACTGCAAAGCCTCACAGTCAAATGGTAAACTTAAGTGATGCATGACCAAGCTTATCACCACTTCGAACATGAAGTAGCAAAATTTTATATGGCTGCACATACATGGATGACCCATAATGCATATGCAAATGAGAAACGTTAGTGTTCAATGAAGCAGTCCCTCATAGCACACGCAAAACACTCTTCACCAAAGCCCCAGTCTAATGAATCAAAGCAGTCATGACATTCCAGATGTTTGGTGGCAATATAGCCAGTATTTTGAGGCAACTGTCCAGGAGGAAGGGTTTCCATGTCCAAGTCCTTGCTTCTTTCAGCAGAACTGTTAATGGGCTGCCTCCTGTCCCTGAAATCCACCTCATCTCTCAGACCCCCAGATACTGATGTTGCTGACACAATTTCCATTTGTATCACTTTCCTTCTAACATTGGATTTATTGGTAAGTCCCAACAAAATGACCCATAAGTCTACTCCACCACCACCCCTCAAATGAGCAGCTCTAATTCCTGTGCTGTGCCACATCCAAGAAAGATGCTATTAACGCCCTCCCAGATCAACTCCATCAAGGAACAGCGTCTTCCATCCGTGTGGGGAGAAGATGCATTTTTCTCCCAGTCTGCTTAGTTGTTCATAGTAACAGCCTCACCTCCACTTGATACAACGCCACCTCTCCTTTCTGCAAACCCAACTCCATTTTTCCATGTTAGCATCTGATTAACTGTCTCCAGCAATTTATCAAACACATATAAAGCAAAATGAGAAGCATTGTTCAGGCTTTCAATGACACCTTTCCCTGAAAACATCTACTTTCCCATTACCGAAGTTTCACAAGACAGAGGGGATACGTTCTTCACTAAAAACCATCATTCAGCTTTCATCAATTTTGAAATACATCTGGAGCTCACAACTCCTCAAACCTCTTGCCGTCTCCTGCCAAGGCCATTTCACCCCACGGTGTAGGTACATCGAAATGCTTCATCTCCTTTTAGCTCTGTTCTAGGGATTATTTTTAATTATTATTTTAATCCGTAGAGAAAGAAATGGTTCAGATCCGCTCCCGCAGGAGTACGCAGCAGCGGGACTTTCTCTGCGGTTCGGCTCTGGAGGCTGAGCTGACAAATCTTCAAGTGCCCACATCCTCCCTAGCCCAGCACTCTCCTGCTTGCACTGCCCAGGTCATCTGCATTTATTAGAAGATTACTTCCTTGGCATGTGGCACCTTTCTTTTACCTCTTCCCACCATTTTCACCCGCTGCTCTCACCCCTATTTTTCTGCAGCTCACTCAAGCTCTCCCAGCCACATCCCAAAACACCAGGCAGGCCTTACTAACCCTGAACAAACATGACCGGCAGTAAGTGCTGCATGCCCTGGTTTCTCACTTCTTATCAGCAGTTTTCAAATGTAAAATACACAATAGGAGCTGTGCCCCATGTTTGTGTTTAGTCTTGCCTTAGGTAAACAAAGGATTAACATT